CTGACCACACCCCAGCCCCTCACTGGGGGATTCTAGGCAGGTACTCTACCACTGAGTCACACCCCAGCCCCTCACTGGGGGATTCTAGGCAGGGACTCTACCACTGAGCCACACCCCAGCCCCTCACTGGGGGATTCTAGGCAGGTGCTCTACCACTGAGCCACACCACAGCCCCTCACTGGGGGATTCTAGGCAGGTGCTCTACCACTGAGCCACACCCCAGCCCCTCACTGGGGGATTCTAGGCAGGTGCTCTATTTCCCAGCTACAGCCCCAGCACCAACTGTTGATATTGACTCCATTTCCGAGTGCATTGCTTAATCACATTAAGCACTTTCACACTTTTGTGAACCCGTCCCCATCATCTATCTCCTGAACCTTCCACCCTCCCAAACTGAAACTCTGCCGCTCCTAACTCCTCTTTGCCCTCCCCAGCCCCTGGCTCCCACCATTCTGCTCTGTGTTCTAAGTCCTCCTTATAGGTGGAATATTCTACCATTCTTTTTGAGACAGAGTCTCACTGTGTAGCCCTGGGTGTCCTGGAGCTCACTATGTAAATATACTCGACTGGCCTTGAACTCACAGAGACCTGCCTGCCGTTGCTTCTCAAATGCTGGGATTAAAGGCCTGCGTCACCATGTCCGGCCCTCCACCAGGATCTCCTTGTTGTTTACCACTAAGAATGCCAGACTAGCCTGTCCGTGAGCTTCCAGGGACTCCCCTGTCTCCACCTCCCACGTCACAGCAGAGGGATTACAGCCGTGTGCTACCACACCCAGCTTCATGTGGGTTCTGGGTGTTTGAACTCTAGTCCTCAGGTTTACAAACAAGCACGTTACTGACTGAGCCATTTTCCCAGCATGTAGTTTGTTTGGGTTAGAAGGTTTTTTTTTTTCTTTTTTTAATTAAAAAAGAAAATTTCGAGCCAGGTGGTACACACCTTTGATCCCAGAACTTGAGAGACAGAGGCAGGCAGATCTCTTCGAGGCCACCCTGGTCTACAGAACGAGTTCCAGGACAGCCATGGCTACACAGAGAAACCATGTCTCAAAAAGAAAAAGAGAAAGAAAGAAGGAAGGAAGGAAGGAAGGAAGGAAGGAAGGAAGGAAGGAAGGAAGAAAGAAAGAAAGAAAGAAAGAAAGAAAGAAAGAAAGAAAGAAAGAAAGAAAGAAAGAAAGAAAGAAAGAAAGAGAAAGGGAAAAAGAAAAAGAAAATTTCCCTTTATTTTCATGTGTATGGGTGTTTTCATGTACCATGCGTATGCAGTATCCTCAGAAGCCAGAAGAGGGCATCAGATCCCCTAGAAGTTACAGATGGTTGTGAGGGGTCCTGTCAATCAATGCTGGGAGTTGAATCTGGGTCCTCTGCTCTTAACCTATGAGCCACCTCTCTAGTCCTCTTTTAACAACGGCAAGGAAATTAAACCATCTCTGGATCACGGGCTGCATCATGAGAGGCCATCCTGCAGAGCCGCTGCCCTCCCCACCCCACCCCACCCCCACAGACAGACAGACAGAGAGGAGCGGGGAGTGAGAGAAAGAACATTTTAAAAAGAAAGAAAGGGGTTCCATCCTGGGCAGACCCATCTGTTTCCCTCGTGCCTGCTTCTCACTACCACCGGGTGCAGCCATGCACAGCAGGTTCACGGGGGAGGGACATGTCACTCAGATGGCTTACTGAGGCCACGGTCTGAGCACCAGGTATCTTAGTTGATAAGTGTCTTACTCTCAATGGCCCCACTCCATACAAAAAGCAAACAGCTTTCCAGAGGGCATGCTGTTGTCAAAGGCTGCTGCTATAGCGACAGTATCTTACTTTCCCCCAAAGGCTGGTGTGTTACAGCCCTAGTCTTCGACTTAGTGCTATCAGGACATAGTGGGAATTTTTAGGAGGAAGGGTGATTGGTGGGAGGTCTCAGATCATTGAAGATTTTGAAGCCCAGCACGTTGTATGCATGGAATTCACGTGCTCAGGAGACTGGAGTAAGAGGATCTCAAGTTTGAGGCCAGCTTGGGCTACATGGTGAGTTTCAGTCTATCCTGGGCTATATAGCATGACTATGTCTAAATATGAAGGAAGGAAAGAAGGAAGGAAGGAAGGAAGGAAGGAAGGAAGGAAGGAAGGAAGGAAAGAAGGAAGGAAGGAAGGAAGGAAGGAAGGAAGGAAGGAAGGAAGGAAGGAAGACAGGAAGACTAATGAGACGCTTTTTTCTTTTCTGTCTGTCCCCTGTGAAGTGAACAGCTTGCTCCACCATGCACTCCCACCATGATATGATGCTTCACCATAGGTTCAAAGACAATAGGATTAATTGTTGGACATCTCTACATCAACATGGAATTCTCTACAACTGTGGCTAAAATAAACATTTTCTCTTCATATGCCGGTTCTCTTGGGTATTTTGTTACAGCCGCAGAGAGCTGACGAACACAGCCACGTAGCTCCAGGTACTCAGTTACTGCAGAATAGTGTGGTTACACACTTTACCACCAAGCATGGGCCACGTGGCCAAGTCACCCATGGGAAGCTGATACTGAAGGAAACGCAAATATGTCTCACTAATCTAAGGAAGTTAAAATGCGGTGGTGGCGCACACCTTTAATCCCAGCACTCGGGAGGCAGAGGCAGGCGGATCTCTGTGAGTTCGAGGCCAGCCTGGGCTACAGAGCGAGATCCAGGAAAGGTGCAAAGCTACCCAGAGAAACCCTGTCTCGAAAAACCAAAAAAAAAAAAAGAATTTAAAATGCAAGGGGATTTTCTTTCTTGTGTGTCTGGTTGAAGGGCAGAGATCACATGGACAAAGGGTCCTTGGAAACTCCCCAAATTCCTTTCTAAACAGAGGGCTATACATTGTCCTTTAATGGTAGCACCGATCAGCCAGACATGGGCGCGGAGAGAGCCAAAAGACTTAATTACCTTCCGTAGTCTCGCCACCTCTGGAGCCTGAACTGCTTGCTCCTCTGTCTCCACACTAGAAGATTTATTACTCGTTCATAAAATGCCATTGTGGAGAGAGTCCCAAGCCACTGCTTTGAGAGAATTACTTTTCTGAGAGACTGGCCCTTCTTCTCTATGAAGTACACTGTAATGGTTTTAACCACTTTTGTGGAGCTGTGACCAGTGTGTCTCAGAACAACTAAAGAGGAGGAAGGATTTACGTTGGCTCATGGTTTCAAAGGGTTCCGTCCCTCACGGTGGCAAGGGCATGATGGAACAAAACAACTCCTGGCATGATGGACAGGACACACAGGAAAGGAACTAGGGGGCCCTGGAGAGATTGCTGTGTGATGAGAAGGTACATAGTGATTCTGTAGAGGAACTGGGTTCGGTTCCTGGCACCCATGTCGGGCAACTCACAATTGTCTCCAAACCTGTTCCAGGGGATCTGATGTTCTCTTTTGGCCTCTGAAGGTACTACACTCAAAACACACACACACACACACCACAATAATAAAAATATGAGCAAAGTCGGGGGTCTCTGTCACCACCATGGCCAGCAGAGTAGTGATCCATTTGAGGCAAGAAGATAGTTCAGTTCAACATGGTTCAAACTTTGGGTATCTGACCCCGAGTAGTTTATTTTGGGCATATTTGGGCACAGCACAGTTTGGTGAAAATTTGGTGGTAATTAACTCAATCCCATGTATACAACAAAACACCAAGTAAGCTAAATAAAGATCGTACATGACTACATCCAAACTCTTTGCAAAGTACACATGACACCTTCCATAAAGATTGGTTTTATAGCCGGGCGGTGGTGGCGCACGCCTTTAATCCCAGCACTCGGGAGGCAGAGCCAGGTGGATCTCTGTGAGTTCGAGGCCAGCCTGGGCTACCAAGTGAGTTCCAGGAAAAGGCGCAAAGCTACACAGAGAAACCCTGTCTCGAAAAACCAAAAAAAAAAAAAAAAAAAAAAAAAAAAAAAAAAAAAAAAAAAGATTGGTTTTATAGATGAGTACATGAGACACCTTCCATAAAGAATAGATTGACTGAGAAAAACAAGGTCACAATAAGGATCTAGGTGAGGAGCTGCATGGTCTCAGCCACACAGATAGCTCAGAGCTTACCAGGCTATTAACCATGTCTCCTCCCAACCCTCTGAATAGATAACAGATTACACATTCCTTCCTTTAAAGGAACATTCCAGATTCCCTGAGTGCTTATCTGTGATCACAAAGACTTCCTTGCCTCCTAGGGGCAGGAAGATGACCTGGTCCTGTCCGTTAGTATGCCTCAATCTTTTCCCATCATCATTCTCCCAAGGAACTTTCTAACTTTTACATTTTTAATTGCCCAAATATATTAAATACACAGGATCAAACACATCTGCAATTCCAGTGTTCTGTGAGGCAGGAGGATTGTGAATTCAGGGCCAGCCTGCACTACTATTGCATTAACTTTTCCTGAGAGACATCAACAAACTCAATAGTGTACCCAGAGTAGACCAAGACGACTGCACCCAAGTCTAGCCCGCTGAACCAGTGAGTTTATTCGGGGGCTCACATGAGCACGGTTGACGCAAAGGTAGCTGCGTCACCAAAAGCCCACCAGCATTCATGACAATTCATGGAAATGGAGCCTCTTCCTTCCTCTTTCCTCCTCTTCTTCCCTCTTTCTCCTCCTGTTTTTCTTCCTCCTCCTTTTCTTTCTTCCCCTTCTCTGTTCTCCTCTTCATCCTTCTCTCTTGTCCCCCATCCTCCTCCCGTTTTTCCTTCTCTTCCTCATCATATTAGCCAGGGTTCTGTAAAGGGACAGAGATGGTAGACTAGATAGATGGATGGATGGATGGATGGATGGATGGATGGATGGATGGATGGATAGACAGACAGACCGACCGACAGACAGACAGACAGACAGACAGACAGACAGACAGACAGACAGATAGATAGATAGATAGATAGATAGATAGATAGATAGATAGATAGATAGACAGATAGATAGACAGATAGACAGATAGATAAATTTATTAAAGTGATTTATAGGTTGTAATGTGAGTTATCTTACAATGGCTGCCTCCTGATGGGAAGACCCAGGATCTGGAGTTGTTCGGTCCATGAGACTGGATGTCTCAGCTGTCTCAGTGTGGCGCTGGAGTCCCAGGGAAGTCTTCAGAGCTGCTGGTCCTCGGTCTACACTGGAATCCCGAAGAAGCCAGTTCTAACGGCAAGAAGGAATGTTTCAGCAGCAGGATGGGTAAACTTGCCTGCTTCCTTCTCCCATGTCCTTTGTGTGGGCTGCCGCCAGAAGGTGTGACCCAGATTTAGGATGTGTCTGCCTACCTCTAATGATCCAATCAAGAAAATCCATGACTGGAATGCCCAGCAGCTGGGGTTTTGGTTGATTCCAGATGTAGTCAAGTTGGCAATTAAGATGAGCCATCACGGGCTGGAGAGATGGCTCAGAGGTTAAGAGCACTGGCTGCTCTCCCAAAGGTCCTGAGTTCAATTCCCAGCAACCACATGGTGGCTCACAACCATCTGTAATGAGATCTGGTGCCCTCTTCTGGCCTGTAGGCAGACATGCAGGCAGAACAGTGTATACATAAATAAATAAATCTTTGGAAAAAAAAAAAAGACATCCTTGCCAGGCCAGGTTGGATTTGTGACCTATCCTACCCAGCCAGGACCGGTGGCACACACCTACAATTCCAGCACCCAAGAGGCTGGGACAGAGGATTAAAGTTCAACCTGGGAACTTCAGGAAAGATTTTGTTTCAAGTAAACAAACATTTTTTTTAAAAAGTACTGGAACTATTCAAAGTGCTCTGCACTACTAGGAATTGACCCTAGCATGATAGACAGGTGCTCTACCACTGAGCCACACCCCAGCCCCTCACTGGGAAATTCTAGGCAGGTGCTCTACCACTGAGCCACACCCCAGCCCCTCACTGGGGGATTCTAGGCAGGTGCTCTACCACTGAGCCACGCCCCAGCCCCTCACTGGGGGATTCTAGGCAGGTGCTCTACCACTGAGCCACACCCCAGCCTTTCACTGGGGAATTCTAGGCAGGAGCTCTACCACTGAGCAATGGTCCCAGGAGATTCTAGGCAGATGCTCTACCTCTGAGTTGCATCCCCAGCCCTCTTTACACTTTTATTTTGAAGTAAGTTCTCGCTAAGTTGACCAGTCTGGCCTCAGACTCACTCTCTAGCCCAGGCAGTCCTTGTACTTGCGTCCTGGTGTTCAGCCTCTCATACAGCTGGGATGGCAGGCCTGTATCTCCAGTCCCTGTTCCAAAGTGCCTCTTAATTAAACCAAAAAGAAGAGTGCCACTCTCGGAGAGCAGCTCCTCCTTCCTCTTCCCCAAGATTGACACTCGGGTATGAGTGTGGCTGGCAGGGGGTGGGGCCACATGAAGAGTGGACAGAGCTTCCACAGTCCCCAACATCTGGGACCAAGCTGATTCTCCTTGGCCAAGAAGAGAAGGCACTCACACCAGAAGTTAGCAGATTCCTTAATTAGAGCCAGACTATTCCGAGCTGCACCCCCCCACACCTCAACCTGGGTGGCCCCCGCTAGAAGAGGAGACGACATTGTTGTGTTTATGCTTATGAGGCGGATCTGCTGGAAGAGAGCATTCTAAATGAGATTACATCTTATACATGTTTAATGTACTGTTCCCACCATTTAAAATGCAGCTCTATTAAAACAGCAGGGAGGGGGGGGGGATGGACTCACGGAGTTGGGTGTGGAGAGAATAGATCAGCAGTGAAATGAATAATATATTAACAGAAGAACGCTGTTGCTTTTCATATTAATCGTATAAATCACGGGATTCTTGGGCTGTCAGCAGAAGTTAAGGAGGAGGGGAAAACCGACTTCTGGTTTCACAGCCCGGGAAAGACCAAGGCTGGTGAGGTATGGGAGCCAGATGCCTGGTGACCATGCTGGTAACAAGATGGGTTTTCTGGGCATGATAATGAGGCTGCCAAGGGCCTGGGAATTCCCCCAGGGCAGTGCTATTTGCTGTAGGAGGGCATCAACTCAGCCCCTGCCTATATCCCTTACTAATGCTTACTGCTTACTATGTGTACGAGAAAGATGAATGGGATACAGTCCCTGCCTGCAGGCCAAGGAGACAGACGTATACACAGATGGTCCAGCAATGTGCGGCCAGGCAGTACAGAGGCCTTCCCAAGAAACACAGGTGGGCATCCCCAAATGCCAAGTGTCCTCTACCCCCGTAGGTGAATCTTTTATATATATATATATATATATATATATATATATATATATATATATATATATATATTGTTTTTTATGATTTTTTTTTAAGCAGGGAGCCTGGTGTGGTGGTTGATTTTTGTAACCCCAGCACTTGGGTGAGGAAGCAAGAGGATCAGGATTTCAAGGCCATCCTCCACTACACAGTGGGTTTGAGACTACCCACAGCTGCGTGAGACCCTGCCTCAAAAAGAAACAATAGGAAAGGTCTGGAGAGGTGTCTCCATGGTTAAGAGCAGCTACTGCTCAGGCAGAAGACCCAAGTTATCTGAGTTTGGTTCCCAGCATCCACATTGGATTACTCATAACTTCCAGTAACTCCAGCTCCTAGGGACCTGACATCATGGCTGGCCATTCAGCCCCAGGCATCTCTCCAGGGCTGGGATTGCAAGCATATACCAACACAGATTTTCTATGTGGGTTCTAGGAATCAAAGTCAGGTCTCATGCTTACATCACAGCAGCCATTTTACCCATTGAGCCTCTGAAGCAAGGTCTTCAGTGATGGGTATCTACCTGAGTCAAGTTTCAAGTTCAAGCTCATTCCCAGGCACATTATCAGAGGCCCATCAATGTGGAATTACTAGTGGCACTTTTCAAAACTGCATTTATTTGTGTGCATGTGCCTGTGTGTGTTCATGTATGCGTATGGGTGCACACACGCCGTGGTGTATAGGTCAGAGTTCAACTCACAGAGGTTGGTGCTCTCCAGGTATGGAATCAGGCTTGACAGCAGGCACCTTTACCCGCTAAGCCATCTCACCAACCCATGAGTCACACTTATAAATAAATATTTGAGCTCTGATCACATCCGCTTCCTTATTATCCCATCTCATCAGCATACTGCCATTCAAGGACGTAGGTACGCTCTCTACAGTGCTTGGAGGAGGCAGTCAAGTGACTTCCGCAAAGTCACACAGCTAATAAACACCTGGACTGCTTCTAAGATGCAAACTAGCCAGGCACTATATGAAGTGCTGTCCTCTGCCCTCTGTGTTTACCCACAATCCTCTCCTTCATGGGCCCTGGAAGTTGAGCCATTGAGCACAGGGCTGAGAAATCAGACTCCTTTGCTCTAGCAGGGAGGTTGAATCTTGCAAGCTGTGACTGAAGGTGGATGAAGACAGGTGTGTTGAGGAGGGCCAGGACCCACCAGGGTAGGGATGAGGCTGGGCAAGTGCAAATGGGCTCTAGCGATGGGTGGGGCTGAGTCCGCTGTTTTGCCTACCCAGGTCCGGGGCCGACAGACCTATAAACAAGAAACCGTCTCCCACTTTTGGGATATTTTGCCTCCTTTTCTGATGCCTGAGGGTTTGGAGGAAGACAGAATGCCCTGACAATGACCACACAACCATTCTGACATCTACTAGATGTCCCTGTCTCATGTGACAAATTGTCCCAATAAAGCCTTGCTTTGTGGGGGCTGGTGAGATGGCTCAGCAGTTAAGAGCACTTGATGCTCTTGCAGAGGATCCGAGCGTTAAGTGACAATATTCCTGGGGAGATATGAATAAACTTCTTCTCGCCCAGCTAGGAACCAATGTCAGACCAAAGTAAGGGTACCACTAAAGCCAAGTTGGTGAGCCAGTTAGCTATAGAAATATGGGTGAGGGGTTGCTTGCAGGAGCAGAAATGACTCAAAGACAGTTGCATCGCCAAAGCCCACCGCAACATGGGTGACAGCTCACAAAACGGGGAAATCTGAAGCTCACTGCTCAACCCACAGGCAGCTCAAGAGGTTGGCATGTGTCTCCTTCAGACAGACAGGTAGGCTGAGCCTCTTCTAGGCAGCTTGTCTGAGGGGGGTCATTCAGCAGTTCTTATTACTGAAAAATACTTGAGGAGAGAGGGTCCTAGTGAATCTAGTAAGTTTCAGGAACTTCCGGAAGCTATCGAGTAGTTTATTTCTTGAGCTTACCAAGCTTCCCTGTGAAATGGAATGTTTTGCCTCACCTTTAACATCCTGCATCTTAAAGGAGCTTCCCATCCAAAATGGAAGGTTTTAACCCGGAAAGAAACGACTACATGACACCAAGTTTGGCTCCCCGCACCTAGAACTTGAGTGGCTCACAACCATCCTGTAACTTCAGCTTTGGGGGCTCTAATGCCTTCTGCCGGGCTCCCCGGGAACCTGGGTGCACATTCACACATGTGCACACATACAAAATGTAAAAAAAAAAAAAAAAAAACAACTAAATAAAAGTTTACAAAAATAAAATGAGTCACTTTGGAAGCTGAGGAGATAGCTTGGCTACTAAAAGTGCTTGCTTGCAAACATGAGGTTCAGAGCATTAGATTCCCAGGAACTCAAGTAAAACCCAGGCAGGTGTGGTGGCATGCCTGCCATTCTAGCCTCAGAGGTCAGAGATGGAACCTCCCAGAGCAAGAGAGCCAGCGAGACTAACCATATTGAGCTGTAGACTTGATTGAGAGACCCTGCCTCATTGAAAGAATAATAGATTATGATTTCCAACATCAGGGACATGCACACACATGCACACACACGCGTGCTCACACATATGTGTACATACACAAAACCGTGCATACACATACACACGAAAAATGGAAAAAGAAAAAAATAGAGCTGCTTTGGGACCTAGGGATGTGACTAAGTTCTCTAGCACTTGCCTAGCATGCATGAAGAAGCCCTGGTTTTCATTCCTAGCTCTATGTAAAACTGAGTAGGGTGGTGCCTGCCTCTAATCCCAACACTCAGGAGATGAAGGAGCAAAAGTATCAGAAGTTCAAAGTCATCCTTGATTACTTATCAAGGTCAAGGCTAGTCTGACCCAGCTTCAAAACCAAAAAGCAAGGGCTGGCACAATGGCTCAGCAGGTAAAGGTGATCGCCACCATGCTCGGAAACCTGAATTCAACCCGGGGCTGCTCACATGGTGGACGGAGAAAACCAAGACGAGAAAGTTGTCCTCTGATC